CCGCAGCCCATGATTCACCAACGGCGGCAAGCCCTTCGAGCCGGGCGACCCAGGTCCTTCTCCACGTGGTTTGTCACAGTCATGCTTCTCTGCTGTCTTGTGCTTCGCCTCTGCCCAACCCTCTGGAATCGCGCTTCCAAGACGCCACACCCGAGGGGCGATGGTGCTTCCCGGTTGGAATACGGTACATGGAATTTCCCCTCCCCCAAAGTCTGTACTGACCCGGAGCAGTAAGACAGCAACGGATCCAGGCGCAGAGAAGGAAGCAGTTTATGAAAGAGTCCGAAATCTTAACCAAGTACGTCCGCTATTGACGTTTGATGATTGTCGACTCTGCTGATAGCGAGTCCAAGGGCGCCCGGAGCAGGGGCAATATACGGCAACACGCTGGAGAGTTTTGTCGTAGCTGAGATCCCATCTACCATGCAAAATGAATCCCTCGTCTTCGCTGAAAACACGACAAGCTTTGCTAACGAGCCGACGTACTTCTTCAGCCCCTATCCGTACGACACCGAGGGCTGGAAGGCTCGCCATGCCGAGCATGTGGAATGTCTTGGTCCCAGAGGTCCCATCACGGACAATGTTCGAGTGTTCAGGGGTCATCCGCGGAATTTCCCGGATCCCGGGTTGGGGAGCTATGAGATTTTGGGAATGGACCGGGATCTTTGCTTTGAGAGGGAAACCCGTCTGGGCCCGTACGGGCTGCCGACGGCCTTTGAAGAAGGGGACGATCTCGACTGGGATGGGGTGAACTGGGGGGAGCTCCAGAGTCATTGCCAGAACAGAAACAAGGCGCGTTTTGATGTTAATGTGTCTCCCGGTTTGTACAACACGCTGGAAAAGAGCGAGCAAGCTATCTCTGATGGGCAGGTGCTCAATTCAGAGACACAGGATCGGATAGAGGCACGATGGAACCCTTCCAAGGCTCAAGAAGACGAGCCGTCAAGGCAAACACCGCCCAAAGACAAGGAGCCAAGGACATCTATCCTTCTGCGAGCCGACACAGGACGCGAGTACACCAACAACGACCGGCAGGTCATCCGGTCGCTCATCACGGAACTGAGTCTCCGGTCGGGCGGGGAATACCAAGTGTTTCTGCTCGTCTACGTCAAGGAGGACATGGATATATGGTCCAGCGACGAATCATACCGTCTCATCATCGAAAAGCATATCCCCCGCGAGTTCTGGGACATGACCATTCTGTGGAACACGGCAATGATCCAAAAAGCCTATCCAGCACTCGCCCCCGATGCCCTGCTAGAACCCAGCTTGCAGTTCTCGCCAGTACAACTCTTCATGCAGGAGCACCGAGAATTCGACTACGTCTGGAACTGGGGCATAGACGCCCGCGTCATTGGACACCACTACGACATGCTCACCCGGCTCGCCGAATTCGCCAAGAAGCAGCCCCGAAAGGGCCTCTGGGAACGAAACCAGCGGTACTACATCCCTTCATTCAACGGCCACTACGACACCGTCTTCCGCCAGACCGTTGAGGAAGCCCACGCCGCGGGCTCGGTATGGGGTCCCCCTGATATCCCCGCCATCCAGCCCGTCGGACTGAAACCGCCAGTCGCCACGGCAGAGGAAGATGACTACAAGTGGGGTGTCGGCGAGGAGGCCGATCTCATCACGCTATCGCCCATCTTCAAAGTCGACGGCAGCGACCAGGTCCGAGGACATCGCCCAGGGGCGGACCTCCCCCACCGAGCGCAGCTCCTGCGGATGTCGAGGAAGCTTGTGGATGTGATGCACAACGAGGCCGTCAGGGGAAATCACTTGGCTCCCGAGACGGTGGCACTTGTCCACGGGCTGAAGGCCGTGTATGCGCCCGTGCCCGTGTACTTTGACCGGGCGTGGGACGGGGCACAGCTGGAACGGTGGTTGAACGACGGGCCGAGGGGCGAGCGTGGTATGGAATGGGGTATGGGTGCCACGTGGGATTCCAGGGCGGTGACACCGCAGAGGTTGTATAACCACTGGCTGGGGTACGAGGATGCCAGGGTGGGGGGGCTGGAGTGGGAGGCGGGGCATGGCAGGCCGTGTTTGCCGGGAATGGTGTTGTATCCTGTTGGGGAGTGAGGTCGACGGGGTTCGAGTGGATAGCTGGAAGAGGATTGTGTTGGGCTTGGAGGATTGGAGATCCTGGACTTGGGGTGGCATTGATAGAGAGTAGACGCCATCAACTCTGGGGTGTTTGCTGTCAGAGATCTGTAGAGCGTAGATGGATAGGAGAAGCGTTGAATGCACACGATATCCAGCTGTGGTTCGTTCACAATGGTTCGGTGGAGGGCGGAATATCCAACATGACGTAGGGAAAAGCGGGCACGACATGCCCCAGTCCAGATAGGCCCTCCCCTCTCTCTCGCAGCATCTCAACACTCAATCACCAAGTCACAGACACTCGGCACCGGTTTAATGTAGAGAATAAATCTTCAATTATACAAACATCTCATATCTACACCTCCCGGGTATCAATATCGTACACCCCCTTCAGCCATGCATCCATCCCGTAGACAAAAGAAATCCATGCGAAAACGCTCAATCAATCATTCATCCCCCTTCAGTCCTCATCTAAAGAACCTGCTCCTCCTCGCAACCCTCACGCTCCCGCGCCCGTCGGTGCCGTGCATCCGCCGCGTTCCTGCGGCCTTTTGGCCCGGGCGGCCCGTGAGCGTGCCCTTGAGCTTGAGCAGCGCGCCGCTGATCTTGTCACCGATGGACGGGCGGCGCTGCTGGTGGTGCACCGGGGCGTGGTGGCCGACGGAGACGACGGGGGCGTGGCGCGCGGGGCGGGCCTTGCGCCGGCTGCTGAAGAGGCCGCGGCGGCGGGGGGCGACGGTTGTGGTGACGGGGCGGCGGCGGGAGAAGAGAGGCATGTTGGGTGGTTGTGGTGGTGGTTGTGTTGGTTGGGGTTGGTGGTTTGGGGTTGGTTTGGTTGTTTTTGATGTAGCTTTGGTTTGATGCAAGGCTTGATGTTTGTTTGATAATAATGAAGAGAGATATACCAACTAGACGGAAAAGGAGGCAAAGTTATATAGATAATCCATCATGAGGTAGGTTGGCGGAAAAGATGGCGACGTCAGAGGCTTCCTCCCCTCGTTGTGCAGGGCTGAGCCCAACCGACATGGCCAACACCTGGCATGGTCAAGAACCGACATGACCAAGACCCTGATTTCTGGTTCGCGCCTTGAAAATGCACAAAGGGTTGTTCGTTGTCACGGCGTCGTCAGTGGGTGTGGGTGGGGCGACGCTGTGATTCGCTGGGTCAAAAGCTTGGTGTTGAAGGGGACGAAAACCACCGATGATGTCACCTCCGGGAAGATGCCTTTTCGCACAAACACCACACGTGTTTGCCTGTCTCCCCGTCTGTTGCACCACACCACCGGGTCAAGGTGAGAGTAACCGCGAGACAGAGGTCACGGGTCCCATGCCATGACGAAGTTTGGTACCTGTTTCTAGAATCCCTTGACGTAGTATCCCTCCCTCCCTCCCTCAACCTCAATCTCAACCTCAACCCATCTTGGCACACCATGACGACCCCCCCTTTTCTCAATCCTCCCTCCTCAGATTCCGCTTAATCACCTTCAACTCGTCGTCGGAAAACCCCAACGCACCAGTGACGTACCCCTCCCACCCGCCATACTCTCTCTCCAAGCCCTGCACAAACCTCCGCCAGCTCGACACCCTCAAGTTACACATGTTCCGAAACCCCGGCGCATCCACCCCCGCCGCCCCGGACCCGCGCAGCGCAAACGCCAACAACTGCTCCCTCGCCGGCTCCGTGCCGATCCGCGACAACATAAAATCCAGCTCAACCGCCTCGGCGTCCGTCCCCGCCAGCGCCAACAGCAGCGCCGAGGCCACCCCCGTCCTGTCCCGACCCGCTACCGCACCACCTCGTCAGCAACCGCCCCCCAAACCAGGTACGATATATAAAAATAAAAACTCACCATTGCAATGCACCAACCCCGCCCCCCCTCCTCCTCCACCACCCCCCTCAACAACCCCCTCAAACCCCCCTCATACATCCCCAGCACCCCCAGATACATCCACTCATACCCCTCTTCCCCCTCCCCCTCCACAAACTTTCCCAACTCCACCGTCGCCTCCCCTTCCCCCGGCGTCTCCCAGCACACCTGCACCCCGTCCACCTCCGGGTCCGGCTGCGCCGTGTGCTCCGCCACGGACCGCAGGTCGTAGACGGTCCGAACCCCGAGCTCGTCGCGCAGCACGCGCTTCCCCTCATCCGTGAGCCCGGCGAGCGAGCCGGAGCGGAAGAAGAGGTTTGGTTTGAGACGGGAGCCGGGGACGAGGCCGAGGTCGCGGGTGTTGAAGGAGCCCGGAAGGGAGACGAACGGGGGGTGGGAGAGGGCGGCGAGGAGGGAGGAGGGGGGGAGGGGATCGGCGGCGTCGGTTTGGGAGAGGGCGAAGAGGGCGGAGCGGGAGAGGGGGGGCGGCGGGGTGGTCATGGTGGCGGTGGGTGCTGGTGGGGGTGTGAGTGAGTGACGACTGCCTTGTATCACCTTGTGTCTGGGCCTCACCGCCGATTCTGTGCCTTGGCTGTTCGGATTTGGACAGGTAAGTCGAGAGAATGGAAGTCTAGTGTCTGGGCAACAAACAGCCCTCGAGTCGTCGGTGGCAGCCGTCTGCCTTTTCATGGGCGTCCCGCGTCATCCGGAGATGCGTTGCCCCGCGTCTCACAACCCCGCACCTCCTCCGTGTCCGCCGTCTCGGCCCGGTGAGAACCTCTCTATACGATACGAGGACTTTGTTCCATGTCTTGTGTCTTGCGTCTACTGAATTACGGAGGTGTAACTCTTCTTAAGCAATGCAGTACGACTTGGATATCCCCTTCAGAACCAACACGTCAACGGCGACGCTGAGCTGTGGTTGTTGGTGCCCCTGATCCCACCTTTCCCCAATTTGCATTACGATATATACAGATGTACCCCACCTCTTTCCAACAACCAGCTACGACAGGTGCACACACCTGTAAATCTTCCGTAGTATAGTGGTCAGTATGTGAGCTTGTCATCAAAGCGCGACATCGCTCGAGACCCGGGTTCAATTCCCGGCGGGAGAGATCAATTTTTGCTTTTTTAATTTTTCATTGCAGTCCACCGCATCCATCACATGGACTGTTTCCCAACACAAGTAAAGTAGCTCGGTCTTTCTTCTCTCTTTCTCATTGACGTCAGTCAGTGAGCATGTCTCCCCCCCTCTCACCCCATTCCCTCCCACCCCGCTCGCCTCACCCAACAACCTCACCGTGGCTCATCTATCCCGCCGGCATTCTTTTCGACCGTATGCGCCGGCGGCACTCGATGCCTGTATGGGATGGATGCCCTCTTTCCGAGGATGTGCTCGGACGAGGTTCTTCGGAGACATCGTCTGTCGCCCGCCCGCCCGTGTGTCTTGCGGGGAGGGAGAGGAGCATTGTGCATGCGTGACCTGTGCTTATCATTCCCTGCTGGTCTCTGGTGACGACCCAAACGATGGACGAGGCAGAGGGGTGGGGTATCCTTTGTGATGAGCTAGATTCGATCGAAATTGGTAGTGTTTACATGCCCCTTTTCTACTGTGCCCGGCTTCACTCATCTCCCATCCCGACATTCCCGTGGACGACGAAACTGTTCGAATTCAATGGGGCGGTAGCCTACTCGCCCTCTCATGCTTTTGAACGGCAGCCATGCTACCATGGCAGGAAATTACCTATTAACAACACAAATATCCAAAACAGGGGCCGCTAACATGGCCCGCTGCCCCTCAAGACACCATCGCTCCTCCCCGACGATCTGGGTATCATCGTACACGAAAGACAAGCTATAAAAGACAAGAGACCGAATGCCGCCAGGCCGAGACGCTCCCGCAATACCTACAAAAAAAGCGCTGTCTGTACATGATCCGAGATATAATTACAACTCGCCCTCTATTCAAAAAAAAAAAAAAAAAAAAAAAAAAAAAAGGGCTCGTATCCAGAGCCGCTATGCATGCTGAATTTTGGTATGAAACAGTTTGGTGGGAGATCAAATCATCCCTGGTGGTGGAGCCTGTGTCCTCGCGTCTGTGAGTGCTGCTGTTGCCTTTTCGGTTCGTGGTGTCCCCTGCGTCCCCGAACTCGACCCTTGGCCTTTGCTCCGGAGGGTGTGGCTCGACCCGAGTCCCCGCTTCATCATCTTCCCCAGCACGTTGACGAGTGCGCAGGCGTCGGCAAACATGTCGTTGTCGATCCCTTCCGTGGCGTCGTACACTTCGGTGATGGTTTCCTTGGCCAGCTGGCGACTGCCCTCGAGATCGTGGACACATTCGTAGAGAAACGCGGCGTATTCCGTCTTGACCGACAGCCGGAGAGAATGTGACCCCCACAGCAGCTCTTCGGCCAGCGCGACCGCGTCCTGAAAGTACCGATGCGCCTGCGGGAGATAATCCCCTGGTTTGAGGAGGAATGCCGTTGGGGGCCCTGGCCGTTCTGGCCCGAAGCCTGGCGGCGGACCGACTGGACCCCCTTCAAAGGTGTGCGGCTGCCTCGAGGCAAATGATGCGTCGGGTCCGTCGTCTGTCGCGATCCCTTTCCCCTTGTCGATGCGGATGGGTGTTGTGACTGGGAGGCTGCTTGATGACTGTCCTTCGGGGGTGCTGAGGCTGAGTGTCGACACGGGAGGCGTGTTGTGGAAGAGGACAAAGATGTGGTAGAAGGAGGCGCGGAGTTTGTAGGCGAGCACTTTAAGCTCTCCATACTTGCCCACCATGGGGATAACGTATTGATTCAGCAAGACGAGGCCTTCCCGGGACAGCCAGATGATGTGAAAATGCAGCTCCATCGCCTCGGGAAGTGGCGTCGTGTCGTTCCTCCGTAATTTTTGGGCGCTGATCAGTTGGCTGGAGAGGTTGATGGAGAGCCCGAGGATTTTAAACAGCACCGAGGCGAGAAGTGGGTTGTCGTTTTCGACAGCCTTGGCAAGTTTGCCAAGGAACTTTTGATCGACCTCTGAGGAAGCCATCGAGGATGATTTGTCGACTTTGAGTGAAAGTGCGTGTGGCTGGTGGCGGGTCAGCGAGACCGACCTGGAGACTAGAGGGCGCGAACAAGGTGACAAGTCGTCCAGTGCCAGGGTCACCACGAGGACAAAAAAAGGGGTGTCCTTGTACTGCTCGACGTACCTTGGTGATGTCTCCAAAAGTGAAAGAGACAGAATCGATAATTAGGTCCGAAGCGAGCCCATAAGGAAACGGGGCTGACGCCGACGGAGCCGGCTGGCAACGTAATCCAAGCCGGCGAGGGTGCGGTGGCAAACGGTTGCGCTGCTGAGGCTGGGAGATAACCAGATGGCCACACCCCTCGCGTTGATAGGGCGATATGCCAGACTGAACGAGTGACTGAAGCGATGAGCCTTTTGCTGCATCAGCGCAGGTCAAGGCTGCCCTATATCAGCCTGGACCGGATCCCGAAGCAAGAACCCCCCGACTCGATGGCCAGAAAGCCACGGCCCGCAGGGAGGGCAGAAAGAACCCTGGTTATGGCCTGCAATTACACAGCACTACGTCCTCCGGGTCAGAATGGGGCCAACCGGACAGCAGGGACCGAACCATTGGAGGAACACTGACCAATATGATACAGCGAAGTCAACTAGCCCCAGAGAGGTAATTTGTACAGGCGGATCAGGCGAATCAGCCGATGGGCGCAGCGGCCGTTAGCAGCTGGTGACGCCGAGGAGTTGAGGCTCAGAGTTGGAGGTGGCAAGATTGGTGAATTTGAGGCTGGGCATGGCGCCGACGTCCCGTCCTTATTTCCAGTGCGACCGAGAGGGAGTCTGGCGTGCCCAACACAGACACTGGCAGCTTGGGGAATCTCACAAGTCGAAAGGGAGCCCAGATATTCCGAAAACAAGGGCCGTGCACCCGTTTAGGGGGCGGAGGGGGGAAAGCGGTGAGAGTCGACTTTGGTCCTGGAATCTCGACGACAAGTTGCGCTGGAGCAACTGTGGAGTCGCAACAACGTCAACACCCCAAGGGAGGTTGGCGCCAGTCGCAAGTCGGGCGCTAGGCTGGACACTGTCGAGAGAGCCAGGGATTGGGGCTGGGTTGGCGAGGGCGTTGAGGAGGACAGGACAGGCGAGGCGGAGAGCCGCGACGGGGCGACTGCGCAACGTGCTTTTGCTGCAGACGAAGGGTAAACAAGAATATTCGCTCGCAGCGGCAGCGGAAGAATCGTGTGCGCCGGTCTTGGCTGGGAGTGGGCGGATGGACGCGACCCAGGGCTGTATGTGTCTTAAAGGAGTCGTGCAGCACGGCGACGTCGCAAAAAGCAGTGCGGTGCGAGGGCCTCGTGCATGAACGAGTATCGACGGTGGGTCCGCCGCTTGGCCGGGGGTTTTATCGACCAGACCCAGAGAGAGCCTCCTTAACAACGGCCACGATCCGGTGCACCATATGACGCGGGCGCAACAAGGCAATGCAATGCCGGCAGTGAATTGACCGACGCTCCACAAGCCAAGTAGCCAGAGACTGGAAAAGGAGGTGAGGGCGATGGAGCGGCGATGAGCGACCAAGACGGCGAGGGGCCCGGGGTTATGTCATACGGGGGCTGCTCTCTGACTGGAGAGGGGAGTTGACGAAGCGAATGGCAGCCGTTTCGAGGTGCAGATGGGGGTCCTGCGAGCTGCGAGGTGAGTTGTCCACCGTCATTCAACCACGGCACCACGGCTACGGCAAAGCAAGCCTGCGACGCAGAAGACGACCCGACCGGCCAACCGACCCACGGCCTTGGTCCGACAGAGACCGCAGAGCCCGCGATTGGGCCACGGCGACGGGGGATAAAAGGAGCGGCGTTGCGACCGAATGAGGACGCGTCGAGACGGAGTAAATGAGCGTGGGTGTGGGCGGGGCGAGTAAGAATGAGCGACTCGCGCCTTGTCGTGATCGTGATCGTGAGAGGGGAGGGGAGGTGAGGTGAGGGAAGTGAGGTGAGAGAGAGTTGAAGTCTCTGGCCACAGCTGACAGAGAGGGAGGGCGACGCGCCAGGCCCGGCCCAGTCACGCGGTTCCCTGTTTCTTCAGGGACCCCCTGCGATCCGTCGAGATGGAGGACCAGAGAGCGAGCCTCGAACAATTGGGCGCCAAGGGAATCAATGGCCTTCGCTTTCGAACAAGAAAAAAGGAGCGACTTGGGTGAGAGAGCGACGGCCCTGTGCGACGGAACTTGGGGATGGCGGGTGAGGGTGAAAGGACGAAAGTCTCGACCTCTCACGTCGAGTCGAGTGCCTCCATGCTTGCCCCTGCCCACCTGCCCTGATTGACCCAGCACAGAGCGCGCCTGCCGACTGCAGCGCAGCGCCTGCCACTGCTGGCCCCGGCTCCTGGGCATCGAATGCGGCGTTCGGTGGCTGAATCCCGTGCAAGGCAAGTGGGGGATCCCTGCCATCTCGACATTGACGGGAAGCGCCGACCTGACGCGCCGCCGCGCCTCCCCAGGATGGACCAGGATGGGGGGATCGAGCCTCCCCGATCTGGACGGGGCATCGAATTTGATTTTTGGGTCTTGCCGTTTGTTTGATCTGCCCGTAATTTTGAGATTTCCATTTCGTCTCTCCCCTCTCTCTCTCTCTCTTCGTGCCCAGACTTCCACAGTGGGAGAGTGGTTGTCGACAATTGCCCCGTCCAGAACCACAACGGTTGGGTCCGAGACACCGAGACAGTCCAACCTCGGAACAACGTTATCGTTGTGTCCCTGTGCGCCAACGACCACGTTGTCGACGACTTCTTTCGACGGCCCATTTGTGGTCTTCTGTTGCACATGATGTCTGCCCCCCGCGTCCTGACGTCCGGTACGCGTACGAGGCCTCTGCAGCTGCAACGGAACTTGCTGGTGGCCCCTCGGCTCGACCAAACGAGCCTCGGTGAGATGGTCAAGTTCCGGGACCATGGCATCTGCCATCGAGGCTCAGCATCCAAGACTCCGATACTCTCTCCCTCCCTCCCAACCACCGGGATTTAGGGGCATTTCTGACACGAGACCATCGACTGGCGGTCGTTGTGCCAGCGCATTCAGACGATGGTCAGCATCCGCGGTCGCAAAAGGAGGCCT